CTATTGCTACTGCTGCTGCTACTGCTACTGCTACTACTACTGCTATTGCTGCTGCTGCTGCTGCTACTGCTGCTGTTGCTGCTGCTGCTACTGGTAGTGCTACTGCTATGGTTACTGCTGCTGTTGCTGTTGCTGCTACTGTTACCACTACTGCTACTGCTATTGCTACTGCTGCTGCCACGACTACTAGGACTAGTACTACTACTACTACTACCTACTACTACTACTACTACTACTACTACTACTACGACGACCCTGCAGTGCTGTCGACGACGTGCCAGGTAAAGTAGGTGACAAACTACCACGACTACTACTTATAACAAAAGAAAAATATTATTGCCACTGCTGCTGTTTGTTCTGCGCTTTGACTTCTGCACTTACTTGTACTTCCAGGTCGACGTCTACTTCGACTTCGACTACGGCGACGACGACGCACGGACGGACGACGACGATGACGACGACTATACTGCTACTCACTAGCACTGGTGCTGGTGCTGGTGCTAGTACTAGAACCAATATCAGTAATAGTTCCAGTACTAGTTTTAATACTAGTTCTGGTACTCGTATGTACTGGGTTTAGTAATAGTACTCGTACTGGCACTAGCCCCGGCACTTGTACTAGTACTAGCACATTGTGCGAGGAATCGAGAACCGCTAGCGTTGAACGTCTGCACGTGCTGCAGCGTTTTTGGACTTTCGCCAAAATGTTAGCAGCCATCGCAGCTCTATATGAAGCGCCAACCTTTCGAACCAAGGGGTTTCAAGACCACACCGCCGAGGCTAAAGTTAGGACAGGTATTCGGCAGGGATGCCCTCTTAATCCATACTTCTTCGTTATCGTGCTTACCGTAATTTTTTCAGATATAGATGAGGACCTGGAAGAGAATGGTACTCCCAAGAACACTTGGTCAACCCTACGCACAGTCTACGATCTAAATGCGGATGACACCCTCCACTTGCACCACTCAACCGCTTGCACCACTTGCGCCACTTGAACCACCTGCGCCACTCGCACAACTTGGCTTTCACTACACCTACCAAGGCCCGGGTACCAATTGCACCACTTGCACACCAAAATTACCCAAATGATGCGTCTGTTTACCCCCAGTCGGCCACCACTTGCAAAACAAAAGGACGCCTCATTGTGCCCGGCTTGGCGGTTCCAGTTCTCGGCACACTGTACTAGCATTACTACATGCAGTAGCAGTAGTAGATCTAGCACTAGTACCGATAATGGTAGTAGCACTAGTACAAGTACCAGCATTGGTACTACAACAACAACCAAGACGACGACTACTGCTGCTAGTATTGCTGCTGCTGGTCTAATGCCGCTACGTCACAAAGCTGCTGCTACCGCTGCGACTGATGCAGGTGCTTCGACAAAGGTCAGAGACGACTGTAATCTTTTTGCAAATAACAGCTTTGAGTGCTCACAATGAGATTCAACAGATCCAGTTTCCGCAGCATTGTCAACATGTTTGGTTCAGTCGCCTTGATTGACGATGTACTTGGAGCTCGTGCTACCGCCATCGCTTCCTGCTTGGGCCGACACGGTCTTTGCGGATAGTGAATGGGAAGTCTTATTTGTGGTCAGGGTCATGCTGCGGATGGCGTGCTGCACAGGCTTGTGGGCATCCATGGTTTTGCAGTACTAGCATGTTTGGCGCCATTGTGGAGCTGCGACGTGCAATGTTGTATTGGGCCATGCTTGCCAAGCTTGACGTGTTGTGTAAGCATCCTGTCATAGAATCTCCGCGCTTCGGAGGCCAGACACGCGATGACAGCCGCCTGAACTTGTTGAGCTGCTGAAGATGATTGGTGCGCCTCACCGGACAAAAAGTCGGTAGAGCCAATTGGATGTGCTGCTTGCATGATCCCCATTGGGACCAATCGGATGCACTTGTTCAGTCCCCGGGCTCTCATTGACAAGATGTTGTACACATGTTTCGCCGGGAGTTGCTCATTCAACCTGCAGGATTAGAAAGCCAGTTGGAAACACGCCCCGGCAACTCGAATTAGTATTTCGAGCAGTCAGCAGCCTTGCGCATTTCCAAAGATTTTTTGCCAAAGCCATGAGCAAAGCCACACGACTGGTTTTGCGAAAAGTATAACTGCAAGCTGAGTTCTGCCATGGGGTGACGTCATGTGGATCTTGCAAGTATGGCCAGCCCGGAGATGTTCTCCATGGATGCAGCTCAGTCATGGACTAGTTGCACCATCTCGGAAATGAGGTCACAGTCATCAAGGCTGGAGAGTCAACTTGATAGTTTTCTATGGCGCAATAAGTTCGCGCTCCTCTGTTCCTGCGCAAAAACGGTCATGGGAGCGGTGGGGAAGGATCGGGGCAGCATGGGCAGCCTCGCTGGATGGCTGCTTTGGACAATCCAGGTTGCATGTTGGGAAACTGCAAAAGGCAAACCTTGTGGTTCTTAGAGAGGTGCCTATAAATCGGGCAGCGCACCGTGCCCTTTCTGGGGGTGCGGCCTTGGGCCGCGAGAGCTTAGCGAAGCTCCAATGGCGTGTCTTGGGCACAGCGAAATCGCTGAACATGTCGAGGTTTTCGTGTTTTCCCAGCATGCATTGTTTCGACGTTTGCTGTCGTTCAATTAAGAACCTTGGTGTGAGCTTGGGCGCCCCGCGGGTGCACATCATGCGCATCAGCTGAAAAGGAGGGGTGTTGACAAGGGCCCCCCCTTCCCCCCACCCCCCGCGCTGTGCGGGGGGGCGGCGGCGCTCAAGGACAGGTTTCCGGCAGCGGTTTGCAGGTGGGCAAACGGGGGGAGGGCCGTTCCAGCTTCACACCGTGCGAGCTTGCGGTCGTCAGGGCTTGCCTTCTATACCTGGAGTCAAACTTTCCCCGTTGATGTGTGAACTGTCGGAGAGGACTGCCTTCGCTGCCCGCACCTGGCGCAACCCTTAAAATAGTGACAAAAAGGAGCAATTCGAATATGAGTAAGGAATAAATAGAACAGTAAAAACAACAAAAATGTAAATTCTGCCCCCCACAAAAGCTCCTGGGCATCGTCGAAGACCACACTATCGCCATCGCTGACATTCAGCCCGGCGAGGTCTACGCTGCAAGGGGTATGCCGGTCCTTTGGAATGCGATTAGGGTTTCGGGTTCAGGGCTTCCGGGTTTAGGCGATCCTCCGCCAGGACCTGCGTATATCCATCTGAAGCCTTCGGCGATGCAAAATGGCATCACACCAGCCGGGGCACACAGCTGAAAACCGGAAGTGGATCATGATCGCCTCGCGCCGATGCCAGCAGGAACAGCCAGAGCTTGTGCACGGCCATAGCATGCCAGCGATCGGATCTTGGGCTTCAGGGAGAAAGATTGGAGCTGAGGGTGCTGAGGGTCTGGGTGTTGGGTTCAGGGTTTCGAGTTAAGGGTATGCACGGGTCACTGCGGTGTGTGAGCCACAAACAACCCTGCTTTGCTATGTTGGGGAAAACAGACAGCCGCCAAGCCTCTGTGAGAGACGGCTGCGGGCAGACATGGGTTTAGGGCTTGGGGTTTGGGTTTGAGGGCTTGGGGAGAAGGGTTAAGGGTTTAGTCGCGGGCAGCCATGGGACTAGGTCTTTGAGCTTTGTGCTTTTAATGCTCTCCAAAAATGCTATGCACACATGGATATATACCTGCTGTTATTCCCTAAGGCGTAACATGATGCTGTGCATGTATGCATATATACATGCACATACACGGGAATGCACAAGCACGGGCAGTCCCACTTGTAACGACACGCAGAATCCCGCACATGTACTGCTAATGGTTTTGCATTACCATGGCACGCTTCACTAGCACGATACAAAGTATGCAGCACATACGCCGATAGGGCAAGCGAGCTGAACGAAAGGCAAGTTTCTGCAACTCTAGAACCCGATTATCAGGAGTGCAGTGCCGCCTTGCCGTGTTCTGATTTCCTTATGGCTTGATTCGATGACGAAGTGTGGTTGTGAGTATTGGGTTTAGTCATGATGTTCTCATCGCAGTGCTACTTGTTCATGAGGGGCCTCACAGCAATACACAGCCACAATGACAATCGCCACAACACTGTGCTCTTGCAAATTGGAGAAAACAAATACATATGTCATTTTTATGATGTTGCAGCATAAGCCATATCAGATATGCACTTAGCCTGTATGTACATTCATGACACTTCAGGATGTGGGCTTACGGACTTTCAGGGCGTAGCGTTTAGGGTCTTCGTGCGTACATGCATACATGAGTACATGCATACAATTGCATACATGCATACATTTTGTTGGCGTATATGTTTTGCATATGTGTAAAGCTTGCTGTGTTTACTCGAGAAAAAGCAGGCCGCCACGACAACACACACACACACACTCCAGAAGTGTGAGCAGGTATGTACGTAGATACATATACATACTGCAACGTCTTCTGCCATAAACCCTAAAGCCAAAACCCCCCATAAACCCCAAACCCTAAACAGGTAATCATACCTAGTCCAACATGCGTAAACATATACATTACAGCCTCAGCGCTTGGCATAGGGCTTCGGACTTACACATCTCAGATTGTAGGATCTAGTTGCTCCGAAAGGACAATGCCATTGTATCTGCTGGACTTCCGTCGACGTATGAGTGACCTCAACGGCAGCGGGTCCCTGAACTCCTGCGTGGCTCGAAGCCAGCAAGCAGCACAGAATTCATCCGAATCCAAAGTACCGTCAGCCGGATGAAGGGTCGGATCCATCGAAACCTAGCTCGATGTGGAGTGCGGGCTCGGGGTAGACATAGAATCATATAGAGTCCAGGACCTCCGGGCGCATTTTTGCAACGAGATTTATCCCCTCTGAGACGTCCGCTTAGCCTTCCGTACAGCGCGAGACATGGAACAGAGATATCATTAATCAAGCTACCAACGGATAGCGGAAATCCAGAAGTATTCTGAAGGATTGCGCCGACCAGCGAACACTGTGCAGTCAGCAACTTAGCAAAGGGCTTACCCTGTTTCTACTCTTGCTCGTGCGCACGTCGTGCGTCGCGACAAAGGCCACCTGGGCGCCGTGATCGATGATACCTCAACAACAACAGTTTGCGAAGCTCTGTCCAGTGCAGCAACACACAAAAGTTATCAAATCCACTTCAAATCCTAATAGGACACGCCGCAGGCACCGTCGTCCTTGTCTTCATCATCACCATCATCATAGCATCCTTACTCTTGATCAACAGCATCATCATGACAATCTTCATCGGCAACAGCATCACCATCACACACCCGCAAAAGGCATCGCGAAAGACGAAACAACTCGCCTGGGCCTCAACGGCAAAACTACCAGTATCAATGACGGCCGTCGGGGCGCAATTGCTGACTCGGAGTAGGAGCTGGCTTTTCATGCGCTTGAAGGGCAGCAAGGAGATGGAGCCGCGCGTGTAGGCCTCGATCACAATCCTGCAGGATCTTGGGGAGTTTAGGGTTTAGGGTTTAGGGTTCAGGGAGTTTCAGAGAGAATTGGGCCCCAGCATAGAGCTGTGGAATACAGAAGCCTGAACGGTAGCATTCTTGTGACGAGGGCCCCGGCTTGTAAAACCGCCTCTACGGAGTTCACCGCAGTTTCACCAAGGATCTTGGCTCCAACATCGTCGAAGCCTCCGAAGCCGCAAAAAGGAGGGTAGACCTTGACGCACCCTCCGCGCAGATCTTTGAGTTTTCGCACCTCGACTGCTTAAGCTCAAGCCGATCGTTTGGAGCTGCATAGGTTCGGGCTATCTGCGTGCCTGTTTTGGGCCCGTCGCTCGGAGAAGGTATCAAGCGTATTACATAAAAATCCGGTAACCTCCCATACGCTACTACCCAAAACTACAGTTTGTTTATGCTATGCTGTACTGTACCCGACCATACTTTACTATGATGCGATACAGTCGGCCTCATCAAGAAAAGCAGGCCGCCGGCCTCCTCTTCCTGCAGGAGCCCTTCATGCGCCAGGAGGAGGTTCTGAAGGCTCTCCACCAGCTCGGGGAGCTTCCGCAGGTCCGAAAAAATGACCCTCACCTGGGAGTTTCCGAAATTAGGGGTACCTTATTTTGGGGTCCTTAAAATAAGGATCCTACTATTTAGGGCACTATATTAGGGTCCCCTTTTTTCGGAAACCCCCACCTCCTCCCGGATGGGCCTGAAATCCTTCAGGGTCTTGTTGACCACATAGTCCTTCAAGAGGTTTTGGTTTGGGATGTGGACCAACATGCCGTCCAGGCCGTTGAGGTGCGTGTTGATGGGGCCAATCTCCTCCACCATGCCAACCATCTTGTCATTTCCCAGGCGTATCTCGTCGCCTCCGTGCAGGACGTCACGAGCACACCCGAAAGCTGACATGAACATCCGAGCACAGACTGTCTCGAGAGTTCACCTTTGAGCAACAAGCTTCCGTTTGGTTTGCTCCGCTAGAGGCAAAACAAGCCGTCACGTACGGGGAGAATCAATGCCCAGGGCGAAGAAGAAGCTGGCAATAAGAACAGCCTCACTACCGAAAGGACCGGGTCAAGGGTTTCAGAAGGGCTTGAAGGTGAAGCTCCTTGGGCATGAGTTGGCTCTCGCCTCTGCTGTACTTGGAGGTTCAGGGTTACTTATAAGCAGGGTTATAAGTAGGAGAACTATCGTCAGAGCAGACATATTGAAGGACATAGAATACCCCACTTATAGCTAAACATAAACCTCCAAGTATGCTCCCGAGCGGCCTTCGACGAAAGGCCTGTTCAACTGAATCAAGGCACCTGCAGCTAGGGGGTTTCGAGTCTCGGGCTTTTTCTGGGTTTTGAGTTCAGCGATGCGGGCAGAGGGTTCAAGCCGAAATAGGAGTTCAGGTGCACTGTGGTACCGTGGTACATGGTTGGGGCACCAGTCATCCCTGCTAGCCTCTACTGTTGCCCCAGACCGCTGAAGTTCCTCAGACTTCCCGCAAAAACCCTGAACCGCAACGCGCTCTAGAGCCCTGACACCGTAACCCTTGAAGTGACCCTTAAAGTAAGCATAGTATAGTAACCTTCATAGTAATCCTAGACCCTAAACCTGCCTGCAATGAGGTTCCCCACCACATTCCTCGCTGCCAAACCCACTGCGAGACCACCCACCCCGCCCAGAGCAAGGACCACTTGCGGCCTGCGTGCGGTGCTTGAAAGGTTTGTAGGGGGCTTTGCTGTTCTGGGCGCTAAAGGTTACGGCTTCGGGGGTTTTGGTGGTGTGGCGGCTTTAAATGTTTCGGCTGTATTGGCGTTTCGGGGGCTTCAAGCCTCAGATGATCTGATTTTGGGGCTTGGGCTTTTGAACAGTTCGGGGCTCCACGGCTTTAGAGACTTCAGAGGCTTGCCCCAAACCCTAAACCCTACGCTCTAAACCCTAAACCCTAAACCCTAAACCCTAAACCCTAAACCCTAGGCCCTGGACCTGGTAGGATGGGCGCTTCTTCCTCTTGGGACCTTGAAAAATGGAGGTGCGAGGCTCAAGGCGGCCTTCCGGGCTTACGAGGATTAGGGTTTAGGGTTTAGGGATCCCTGTCGGGACCCCATCATGGGCCTTGTCAGGTCGGTGGATCTTCAAGGGCATCACGCTAGGGATCGTCTGGTCTATGCCAGTCTATGCAGGAGAAAGCCGAAGACTGTTAACGTGCTAGAGAAATAAAGCACGAGACAACTGAGTTGAACAGCTCCTGCTGCTGCTACAGCGGTTGCTACAAGTAAGGGTTGCTACAACGGTTACTATAACGGTTACTATACAGTATAAGGTTACGGTTACTGTAAGGGCTAAGCTTCTGATTAAAAACAAGCCGCCTCAGGCCCACAATGGCCAGCCAGGGCCACAACATGGCACAGACCACCTGAGCTTGTTATGATGCTTTTCATTGCTACTGTTCGAAAACAGCCAATCTATCTACCTATCTCTCTATCTATCTATCCATCTATCTATCCATCTATCTGTCCATCTATCTATCGAACTATCTATCTAATCTAATCTAATCTAATCTAATCTAATCTAATCTTATCTTATCTAATAATCTAATCTAATCTAATCTAACCTAGTCTCTACTCTACTCTACTTTAATCTAATCTAATCTAATCTAATCTAATCTAATCTAATCTAATCTAATCTAATCTAGTCTAGTCTAGTCTAGTCTAGTCTAGTCTATCTAGCTATCTATCTATCTATCGATCTATCCATCTATCTGTCTCTCCGTCTCTCCATCTCTCAGTCTCTCGATCTGCTGGTCTCTTTATCTCTCTATCTCTCTATCTTTCTATGCACCATCTATCCATGTATCCATCTACCCATCTATGTGCCTATCCGTCTATCCATCCGTCCGTACATGGCCGGGCAAAGGAGGACGACGAGTTGTCGTGGTCGTTGTTGTTGCTGCTGCTGCCCCACTGTTGGTATCAATAGTGCTATTTCCAATTCTCATTGCTAGTATTGTCAAAGCCCCGACTTTGTAGCGCAGGGAAGCCGAGCCGCCACCACCACATCTGTAAGTCGGCTCACCAGCATCACCCTCCTCGCCAGCAGTCTGGACTTCGCCTGCGTGTTGCATTCGCTTCAATGAGAAGTCGACCTAGGGCTGCTACTCTCGTGCGTTCGTAGGGCTGCAGCATCAAAAAATTCGGATGTCGGTGTTCCGCTGGGGATCCCTCAACTTCCCAGAGGAGACCGGTGAAGCGCCTCCCGTGGGTTCTGCAGTGCATACATCATCCTGTCGGGAGCAAGGCTTCTTGGAGCTTGGTTCCGGAAGAGTTCGCCGTTCGCCTACCCGAGGAGGGGAGGGTGACGATCTGCCTATGGGGTTTTGGCTTGGGGCGCCCCGTTTGGTCATATGCCATCAAGCATCCGACACCAGAAGCGCACAGGCCAGAAGGTGCTTTTGGATGCCGCCGGAACGGCAACCCTCAGCTGACGAGTAAGGCTGTTTTTTCTGTGAAAGCGAGTGGAATACCGGGGACAGGCGGGGATAATGTCACAAAACACCGCGAAACTCCACATTCCCTCGCTGGGAAAACAAGATTCTTGGATGTCTACGCTCCCAACAGAATCGGTTCTTGGACTCTTCATAACGTTCCCAACGACATGGGTTTCCCGCATTGCTCTCATGTTTGTTTGGAGTGTTTACACCCCATGCTTTCTCAGACTCGTCGCACGGAGGGCAATGCATGTTCGCCAAGACCCAGGAAAATCAAAACAGCCAAGCCCTCCGGTGGCATTCTTAGAGTCTTACTTGTCATATTATACTAGATAATACAGTTATCATAATATATCATCTTATTACTACACTATACTCTATCATGTTATTACTATACTATATCATACTAATACTATACGGTAAGACTATAATGGATCCAGCCAGGGATTCGTCCCCTGCGGCTGCTTTGCCTGCTGGCATTTCGCCGAGCCGCTTCGGGGGCCTTTTGAGCTTCAAGACCTGGGGTGGCGGTATAGGGTTTAGGGTTTAGGGTTTAGGGTTTAGGGTTCAGGGTTTATCTCTAAACTACGATCCCTTACAGGGATCTATGAGGGTTTCAGCATAGGGCTTCTATGCGGGGCACTAGAAGGGTTCTATAAGGATGGTTTCTGAACTAGGTTCCGGTTCTACGATTCTTTTTGTAAGGGTGCGCCGCATTTTTTGGGGGGGACCCATATCGAGACCCCCTAAACCCTACACCCTAAACCCTAAGCCCTAAACCCTAAACCCCAAACCCTAAACCCTAAACCCTACCCACCTGGTATCCGACGATGGAGCTCATGGCAGCGCCCAGTATTTGCCGGCTGAGTCGGAAGACGAAGGAGAAGACCTCTCTCAGGCTCCCTTAGGGGTCTAGGGTTACGGTTTAGGGTTTAGGGTTTAGGGTTCAGGGTTTAGGGTTTAGGGTTTAGGGTTTAGGGCTATGGGCCTATAGGGCCATGGACATTAAGCACATTAAGCCATATTGGGTGCACCAATGCGTCGAGAACGCGAATTGGTCCTAAGCTCCACTGGCCCAGCCCTGGCCTTCGGGTGTGGGTTTGAAGAAACTGCGTGGGCTTAGGGCTCCATTCACTCCAGATCCGGCAGGCCTGGCCAAAGTTCAAAAAATCTTTCTGTCAGGCACTTGTCTGAACTACAACTGCGGTAGCATAGCAGTGGTCCTGGTACATAGTTACTGGCAATACCATTGCTGACGTCATGATGACAAAACGACCACTAGAGGAAGTCCCTCAGCTTCCAGAGCAGTGCCCCTGCGATTCGGAGGCGACTCTGGGTCGTAGCTTTTTTCAGACCCTGCTACTGTGACGGCGCGGCTTCTTGAGGGCACCCCGGCAGGGCAACTTAGAGAGGCTGGAAGGTCATCGCTACAAGCAACTGTACACTGTACACAATGGCCACGTGGGCCATGAGCATCGCAAACCTTCTCTTAGTAAACGTGCCAAGTTGACTAGCTTACCTTGCCAGGCCACTATGTCACTGTGCTCTGACGGTGACCTGGCGCCCATCCAGCTTGAATTGAAAGTTGGGAAAGCCAAGAAGGGCTGAGCCAATTAACCGAAGTCCATCCTGGGGCTCTTTTGGTGCAGTCAGAGAGTGAAAGCTGGCCCACTTGCTGCGGTGGTGATGAGCTTCTGGCTTCAGATTGGTCGGGTACATACCGCCAGCCAAAGGCCAGTCACTGCTGTTGGGCGAAAGCCGAGCGCCGTCCAGGATCATGAACCAGATCTTGTTGACCTGCACGAAGCCACGCACTGCTGCGGAGGCTGAAAGACCCCAGGATGCGTCAAATCTGGCCGTCGGCTGCTCATCCGTGCGGGGCTGCTGCGGCAGCTCGTACTTCCGATGGAAGGCATTGACGGCGAACTTGCTGTGCAAAAGGTCCGTCGCCGTCTCCAGGCGAGTAACATATCCCGGAACGAAGTTCCGAATCTCGACCTCCACCGTGCACTCATGCTCTGTCACATGATGGATGAAGCCTTCCAAGGTCTCGAGCTGACAGCGTTCGGCCAATGATCCGGTCTTCACCTTCTTCGGAGGCCGCTCCAGGATCTTGGTGAACTGCTGCTGCGGAGTGGGATATCCTGGAGCTCTGCGACCATGCCGGACAGGCAGCTTCACCACCTTTACCTCGAGGTCGCGCTCGCAGGCGAGAGTCGACACGGGCTCTCCGAAAAGCTGCGTCCACTCGGCCTCCTTCGCTGCAAGCTTCCGCTGTTCCGCCTCAGAGAGCTCCACTGGCTTTTCGACGAGGTCCTCCGGCGTGACCCTGACCTGGCAAACTTCCATCAAGGTTCCCTTTGCCCGCTTTCGTGGCCAGACAGCTTCATGGACTTCGCTCTCCTGGCCACCCTTTCGCACGATGACCTTGAATGGGACGTCGGCCCCGTCACGATTGTTGTAGTTGTTGACCTTCATCACGAACTTTCCCACTTGGTTCAGCGATATGTTCTCGGCTGGGTTCTTCTCAATCTTTGATGCATTTGCGTCAAAGTCCAGGCAGCAACTTTCGACCGACTTGTTCCCGTAGTAAAGCTCTTTGCCCTTGACCCAGGTGTGCAAGTCGAGGTCTGACTGATGAGGGTTGCCATCCAGCCCCCACACTAAGGTCACGGTGCAGAGTGACTTCACCTGCTTCTCCCGCAACAACTCCGCCACGCGTGACACCATGTACGTTTCTGGGTTGCTTCGATCGTCCATCATGGCCACAAGGCCCTCCAGGTTGGCAGCTGCGTCCATGAAGTCCACCAGATTGCTCGCTTGTTGCATGTCCAGGTGCACATTTCCCTGGGACCGTCCTGTTAGCATCGCATAGATCATCACGTGGAACTTCTCATGGAAAGCAAGCTTGTCCCAGCTCTTGCCGCGAGCTTCAGCAACAAAGTTCACCGCCCATTGGACAACAGCCCTCCAGTGGTCCGGGCGCACCAACCGAGGAAGAGCATCCTGCATGACTTTCAACGAAGCTGGGTCATCCACTAAGCGCTGGAATCGGTTGTCGAAGGAGCCGTTGAGGTATAGCTTCAGATCCTTCAGCCTCTGAGATAATCCAGTGTCCGAGAGCTGGTCGCAGCTAAAGTGCACATGGCTGAAGGGTCCAACCTCCACGGGATACTTCTTGACGAAGTCCTCGTCAATCACCACGGCAGTGAGCTCAGATACGTTTTGGATCTTCTTCCAATGCTTCTGGCGTAACTGTCGAAGTGTCTGCACATTTGGCTCCTTCACATCGTCGAATGCGACGAATGACCCACTTTCACCCACCAACTGCGCGAACTTTGGCATGCGGTGCCTGCAGGTGTTGCACCGATTGGACAGGTTGGATGCAGAAAGCCGGCTCTCGTGTTTGGGTAAAGCTTCCCGAGGCTGAAGGCAGAAGAGCAACTTCTTGTTCTGCACCTGCACGCAGCAAGCCTTCATCGGAGTGCTCTCGATCTTTCCGTAAGCCTCCTTGCACGCATCGGAACGATGATCCTCGCCTTTGGGGGCGGCCACGACCTCCCAACCCTCATCGCCAGAGCCAGCCATCCCAACTGTCCGTGCGGCGGTACTGGGCACTGGTGAGAGCTAAGCACTTGAGCCTATACTGGGATACTGATACGGTCGGCCATGATGACAATGATGTGGATGTGGATGTGGATGTGGATGTGGATGTGGATGTGGATGATGATGATGATGATGATGATGATGGTGAGGATGATGATGATGATGATGATGAGGAGGAAGAGGACGACCAGGACGACGACGACGAGGAGGATAAGGATGAGGATGAGATGAGGATGAGGATGAGGATGAGGATGAGGATGAGGATGAGGATGAGGATGACGACGAGGATGAGGATGAGGATGAGAATGAGGATGAGGACGAAGATGAGGATGAGGATGAGGATGAGGATGAGGAGGAGGAGGAGGAGGAGGATGAGGATGGTGGTGATGATGATGATGGTGATGCTGAAGGTGGTGGCGATGATGATGACGACGGTGATGCGAGAATGGCGAACAATCACGATGATAACGAACAACGATGGTGATGGAAAAACAATGAGCAGAAGCACAGAAGCACAGAAGAGCGATGATACACAGCACCGGGCTCTGAACCCTGTGCCTCGTCGGCTGTAACTCTGCCATCGCCGTTAGCATCCAGGATCATCCTCGCGCCGGGCTTTGTCGGCTTGTTGTCCAAGAAGAGGTGATGAATCTGACTGAAGACCAATAGCAACTGGCGCCTGTGGTACGTATGCAATATTCACGATGTCTAGATCTGGCGCGAAAGATGGGCCATGGGGAAGCCGATGCTGATCATTTTTGATTCACAGGGCTGAGATGGGACATAGTTGCTTCCCGAACATGTTCAAGCTCAAGGTTTAGGTGAGAGCTTCGCCTGCTCCCAAACCCCCAGAATACTTCGAGAAGCCCTTGAAGATCACATGAAATACACAGACGGAGACAGAAGAAGCCGAAGGCTCTTTCTTCGCCCATCTCCCCGTCCGAGGATCACTGTTGTTCCTGGGCTTCCTTGTTCAAAATTCTACCAGACTGTACCCCAAGCCCTATTCCAAATCCCCAAAACCCTTATCCCTAATCCCCAAAACCCAAAACCCCAAGCCCCAAACCCCCAAAACCCTAAAGCCACAAAACCCCCACAACCCCCAAACCCCCCAAAACCCCAAGCCCCAAAACCCTAAACCCCAAACCCTCAGCCCTCAACCCGAAAAAGCCCCAAAAAAGCCCCAAAGCCCCCAAAGGCCGAGGAGCAGGTAGGGCTCGCTCTTCCTCAGGTCCAAGCTCCAGGTCTTTGGGAGGACCCGGGCACCGAAGTTCACGGCGGAGAAGGCCAGGAAAGCTCGGGAGAAGCCCAGAAGCAGGCCTCGGCGTGGAGTTTTTTGGGTGTTTTTTGGGGGGGGGGTTTAGGGGGTTTAGGGGATTTTGGGGGGCTTATAGGGTTTAGGGTTTAGGGTCGCAGTTCGTTAGGCTAGGCCTAGGCCCACTCTTCTCCGTGCCAGCCCTTTCGGGAACCTCCGCGATTCGGCCTGGTGGTCAGTAGCACTAGCAGGCTGGTTCAAACTTGTCGGTTTCGCAGTTCACCTCTCAAGGGACCTTCAGAGGGAGGACCTCCTCTTGCCGCCGCAGCACCTGCAAAGAACCCGGCCAACTTGCGAGCGATCCAGGTCTCTGGGACAAAGGGCTCGATCATGGGCGTGAGGACACGAGCCAATGCCAACTTCATGCTTCGAACATCTGGAGCCGCCGGCAGCCGAACCAAAACGACGGAAGATCCAACGTACAGCAAGAGCCGCAGCAGCAGGTTTTGGAGCAGATCGTCATACTTCCGAGCAGTGACGAAGAGAAGGTGCAGCACGACGGGCCAAGCGAACACCGTCAGCGCGGCCTCGGCGATGGCTAAAGTCGGATTTAGGCCGTCTGCCTGAAGATCTAACATGATTCTTCAACTGAGATGCTACTGCTTCTGCTATTTTTTTTGCTATCGCTGCTGCTATAAACGCTCCTATATTCATGCAAGCTGCCTTCAGGACACCGACGCTGCTCAGCCTTTCCTCAACCATATCTGGCTGTACCTGCCATCACTCGGTGGTTGGGAGCCGAAAGAGTTATTGCAGAGGTTACTACCACGAAGGTTACGAGCGTGGGGGCCACTATCTGGGTTCGACTGCAAACCTTAGGGATGTTCGTGACAGTTCACTGTAGATAACGACATAAAACGACGTCTATGGCCAGAACATGTACCTAGACGAGAGGGTATCTAGAAATGCATGAGAACATGCCAGACTAAAGCGTAACAGCAAGCCGTATCCTTGCATGATCATATGTCATGATATACATATATATATATAT